TTCGTTCGTCGATGGCATTGCGATTTTCTCGTTGACTCGCGAGGGTGGATAGGGTGATGGGGGGAGGTGGGTAGCCACGCCAATGGGGTTGTGGATGCGGGAAAGACATATTTTTTCGACCGGATCATAACTCATTCGTTATCCGCGGCGCGAGCCGTAATTGAAAACGAAGTCTGTCGCTCAGCATTCAGCCGGCCTGTCCCGTTCCCTTCTCGTCATTTCTCCAACAACCGAATTTGGTGCCAAACGCCATTATTTTTGTTTCCAACAGCATTATTCATCCGAATGCAATTTCTGGTCCAATTTAAAAGCAATGGTCAATCAGTTGGTTATGCGTATCCGCGAATTGTGTTCTGAATGTCAAAATTTACCGATTTGTAAGACATGATTAGATAGTCCGTGCACTAAGTTTTGGCCCATTATAGTCGGATGAATTGACCGTCAAAAAAAAGTACTAAATGGCCCAACTTATTTGGTGCATAATTTCTGCAACTTCAATACTATCAGTACTGAACAAGTAGTCACTTGTGCAGCTACTTTCTACATGATTGACATGACGGAGACGGAAGAAAATGTGGCAGGTGGAACTTCCTTCAGGGTACATTTACCGCTAAAAAAACAAACTATAGAAAAACTATTATTGTTCTCCGTGTTGTGACATCAGAAACATCAAATAAAGGTATCACTGATCAATCTATTCTAAATGTGCAAGGCCTCTATCCGTCATCTTGTTGTTGAGCTGGTGCGCCATTTGAAAGCATTGCCACCAGTGTACTAAAACTCACGCATATTGAAGTCAAAAAGCGCTCCTCATCGGCTAAGCGCTTAAACAATGTCCTGAAATCAATCAAAATTGACCTATGAATTCCCACTGACAGGTTGTACCTGGAATGTAAGGGGATTCAGCCCCCTTGGTGAAATGAAATTGTTTTGGCTTCGTCACTGCTTTCATCAGTTTTTTTTTTTTTTTTGTTTTGAGTAGGCCAGCGGTGACTTCACCTACGTGCGCTCAAAAATCGGTCTGAAACTTCAGTCTCATTACTCAGAGAAGAGACTCATCCGAACACTTTTCTTAACAGGGATTTACGCTGTTGAGCCTAATTCACACTATCAAACTTTTCATCCAACTCATGAATGCAATTTGTCGTAATGAAAAGTTGGATTGTATGATCTGATACTAACGCAAAAAACGACAATTTGATGAAATATTGAACGGAAACTTGAATGTGACGTCACATTCAACTTTCCAGCCAATTTTGGATGGAAGGTTTAACGGAGAGCAATAATTGAATTACATTTTTGCGTTCAACTTTCCATTAAACTTTTCCTCCAATTATGTCGGATGAAAAGTCTGAAAGTTCAAATCGGGCTTTAGATGCAACAAAGACGATTTTTTATTTTGGTCTCAAAAAAGGTTTTGGGTTTGTGTTGACAGATATGGGTCAGTTCGGGCTGAATAACGGGCACCACTGGAGCTGCAGTACTGCCACGCCGTACTCGAGCTACCTGGGCGCGAGCTCCTTCAGCAGCTGCGCCGCGTCGGGGGGCTTCAACACCCCCGCCTTGGGCTTCACCGCCAGCGCCGCTGAGGCCCCCGTCCACGACAACTACTCTTCACCAACCAACGCCTCCAACGCCTCAGCACGTAAGTTCAATCCAGCCACCTCTGAAAACCTGTTGGACATTCTACCTGGACGGGCTTAAGAAGCGCTCGATACGCTCTAACTTGTTGCGTCGCAAGTATGGGGGGTCCTCATTTTAAAATGTCGATAATTTTGAATGTACTCCCCTAGGAGGTCGGGGGTCGTGGAGCCCACCCGAAAGGGTTTCCCCCTCCATGGTTAGGAAAACAGTCCAAACTGATACATTTTAACCCAATAATCGAAAAAGTCATGGCGTATTGGGCGTAACTTTTGCCCATCCTGGGATTAAGAGGATTTTAAAATACTTTAAAATTCTAAGTAGCCACCGACCGGCCAAAGTATCACAAGCGTATCTTGTGCCAACATAATCTGCTAAAATATGGTAAATTCGTATTTACTAAGTGGTTATGCTTTCCCCTTTGACCGCTTCGTGGTCTAACTTCCTTGAGCGCTTCGCGCTGCAAGCGTCGTGCGGGCATTTTATTCTTATGAATTCATATTTTGACTGCATTTTGCAATTCGGAATTATAAATTCTGGCTCTTCTGGGAAAATACTTATGTGCATAGGGAAACTAATGGTGCATATGTTGTTTTTAAACCGGGCCAGAATCTGTAGGTCCAAATTGCAAAATGTAGTCCAATTTTTAGAGTATAATGTTAATTCATTCATATCAAAAGACATGGGCCAATTTTAGGATGAAAATAAAGATACAGGGTTATTCATAAGTCACGCTCCACTGGCCACGAGGGGAGTGGCTGTTTGAAATTTTTGAGTTGCCCCCCCCCCCTCTCCCAAAGGGGATAAAAAACTAGAATGTACCTTAAGAAGTTTCCTCCTCGATATGAGCAAAAGTGCCTTAAACTGCAAGTCGATATCTTAATTAGAACTAAAGTTATGGCCAGTGGTGCGTGACTTTTGAATAACCCTGTAGTTCATTTTGATTAAAATACGTCCATAATTTGGATTACATTTTGCAATAAGGAACCACTTTTTCTGGCCCATTTTAGAAACAACATACATGCCATTGGTTTTCCTATGCAGACATGTGCTTTCATGGGAGAGCCATAGATAGTGGTTCCTTTTTGCAAAATGTAAACCATTTAATATTTGGAACTCTGAGACTGTTGCCACTTAACCCTGCATTGAGACAAGACTTCCTGCGGGCCGATTATCGAAATTGATAGACAAAGCTATGGACAAAGAAGACAAAAGAGGTATGGAGGGATCCTATTGGTGGAAGCGGGTGGTTGCAATGGACAAAGGAGGTAGGTAATAGACTAAGTAACGGCAATCCCCGCGGAACCCGACAGTTCGTCTATCATTTTCTCCCTTAGTCTATAGGAACAACCCATTACAACCAATAGGATAGCTCTATACTCCCTATGTCTTCTTTGTCTATCAATTTTAATAATCGGCCCGCTGGTCAGAAGTTATGCATCTATGACGCGAATGGTTTTGCCCCAGTATGAATGATTTCCCGATCTTGTGATTTCAGTGGGGCTCCACGACGGCGTGACGCCCGGGGCGACGGACATGGACCAGCAACTGATGTCCTCGCAGACGCAGCTCCAGGCGATGGACTCGGAGTCGAACGGGCACGACCGCTCGCTGCTGTTCCCCAAGTACGGGACGGCCGACTTCATGGCCGGGCCGCGCTCCCTGTCCGACTCCTCGACGGCCGACTCGCCCGGCGGCAGCGAGG